TCCAACATCTTGCTTCAGCTTTACAGTGTATGTATGCAAAATGAAATACGACCTGAGAAGAGTTCTTGGACTGAGCTGATCCCAAATCAAAATCTTAGAACCTACCGTATTTTTCTGTGTATAAGACATCCCCGTGTATAAGACACCCCCTATTTTGGGGGACTCAAAATTAAGAAAATGGGGGGGGGGGTTGCCCCCGTGTATAAGTCTACCCCCCTTTCTTAACATTATTTTTTAGTAAAAAAAACACCCTAGTCTTATACACGGAAAAGTATGGTAATTTAGAGGCACTTATTTTTGACAATAAGGCACATACAGAATTAGGAATAGCTTATCTATAGCCCATGTACTTAAATTCTCTGGAATCAGAAAAGAGCAAGAGGATCAAGATTATGGAGCAATTCCCTTATGAAGAAAGATTGCATCATCTGGGGCTTTTATTTTAAAGAAAAGGCGAGTAAGCAGTGACATGAAAAAAGTTCATGAATTTATGCATGGCATGGGGAAAGTGCTGAGAGAGAAGTTTTTCTCTCTCTAGAGCACATGGACATCCAACGAAGATGGATGTTGAAAAATTCAGGACAGATAAAATAAAGCACTTATATAGTCAAATACAGAACTCGCTACCGAAGGAGATAATGATGGCGACCAACATGGATGGCTTTAAAAGGGGATTAGACAAATTCATGGAGGACAAGGCTATCAATGGCTTCTAGCTATGATGGAGGTTATGCTCCCCCTCCTCACTTGGAGGCAACTATGCTTCTGAATACCAGTTACTGTAAACTGCAGGAGGGGAAGTGTTTTTGGACTCGGGTCTTGCTGGTTTCCCACAGGCATCTGGGTGGCCCCTTTGAGAACAGGAGGCTGGACTAGATGGGCCACTGGTCTAATGCAGAAGGAGAGCCAGTGTGGTGTAGTGGTTAAGAGCGGTGGACTCGTAATCTGGTGAACTGGGTTCTCTTCCCCGCTCCTCCACAAGCAGCTGCTGGGTGACCTTGGGCTAGCCACACTTCTCTGAAGTCTCTCAGCCTCACTCACCTCACAGAGTGTTTGTTGTGGGGGAGGAAGGGAAAGGAGAATGTTAGCCGCTTTGAGACTCCTTAAAGTAAAGGTAAAGGTACCCCTGCCCGTATGGGCCAGTCGTGTCCGACTCTAGGGTTGCGCGCTCATCTCGCTCAAGAGGCCGGGAGCCAGCGCTGTCCGGAGACACTTCCGGGTCACGTGGCCAGCGTGACTAAGCGGCATCTGGCGAGCCAGCACCAGCGCCGCACATGGAAACACCGTTTACCTTCCCGCTATAAAGCGGTCCCTATTTATCTACTTGCACTTGGGGTGCTTTCGAACTGCTAGGTGGGCAGGAGCTGGGACTGAACGACAGGAGCTCACCCCGCCGCGGGGATTCGAACCGCCGACCTTCTGATCGGCAAGCCCTAGGCACTGAGGTTTTACCCACAGCGCCACCCGCGTCCCTTGAGACTCCTTAGGGTAGTGATAAAGTGGGATATCAAATCCAAACTCTTCTTCTTCTTCGCCTCTTCTTTTGAATCACCGTGGTGCCAGCCACTGCACCACAAACCCGTGTATGAGGTACTTTGTAGTAAGCCGTTATTAAAACTGGACACATCAAACAGCAGGATGGACCTGCCATTCCTGCCTCAAACAGGATGCCTCTGTAGCCACATCAACACAAGCCACTCTGGGAACCATCACAGTCACGTATATCTGTGGTTAGTTTGAGATGAACAGAACAATTTCAAAATTATCCTGGCTGGGGATGGTAAATACAGAAGTGGTTAGTAACATTCAAGTTGGTGTGACTGAATGTTTTAAAATCTCCTCTCTTCTTTAATCTGAGTTTTGCACTTCCAAACATGTATAAAGTGTCATGATTTCTCCACCACTGAACGTCAGCTGCACAGCAAACATAATGGCTTCTACATCAGAGGATATAAGAATGACTTCCAAACACAGCTGAGTCCCAGTATCTCTCATTTAGATATTAATCAGTCACACAGATTACATAAATCTTGAGAGAACAGTCTTCCACAGGTGGTGATGGGTGGAAAGAGGCTAACTGGAAACCAAATAGCTAGACTGTGCTCACATGAGGAGCAAATAGTAGTGGTATGGCAACTCCCGTAACCATGCAAACATCACCACACAAAGGATAAACAGCCCACCAAAATCCTCATCTTCGTTTAATGAGGGTCCACATCAACAGTGACTGAAGATACATAACAGGTTATTCTTACTTATTGGGTTTTCCACATAATAGGTAAATTCAAATTAAATAAAGAAAGACCATGGGCTAGCATTTTGATGATAATGATGCTGACAGCATCATACGAAAAATGCAAAAAACTTCCATGCACGAGAAGCAGCAGCTCCACAATAAACTCCCTTCTGGAAACACCAAAGACATACAAATGTGTTTCTTTGAGTCAACTCCCTTCTACTCTTTTGGATTGGGGTAGGGGGTGGGAGGGGGCCTCTGCCCTCCATAACGCATCATGCTAGAGTTAACCTGACTAAAAGAATAGTTCCTGTAGAAGGGACTGAAGACAAAGAGGAAAAGTGATTTCCAAGGCCCCCTAGTGAATGATGGGTGTAATAGCTAGAGCATCGGACTAGGACTCAAATTCCCACTTGCTCATGACACTCACTGGGTGACCCTGGACCAATCACAGTCTCTCAGCCTAACCTACCTCACAAGGTTGTTGTGAGGATAAAATGGAAAGGGGGAGAAGCATGTACAGTATGCTGCCTTGAGTTCCTCAGAGGAACAGAGTGAGCAGCTCAGTTGGTAGAGCAGGAGACTCAAACTCTGGGATGTAGGCTCAAGACCCATGTTTGGCAAAATATTCTTACATTGCAGGGAGTTGGAGTACCTAACCCTTGTGGTCCCTTCCAACCCTACAATTCTATGATTTGTAAAAATAAAGATAAAAGCAAAAATAAAAATAAAAAATAATTACAGTGATTTAACAAAATGGTGAGCTCCCATTGTTCGGTCCCAGCTCCTGCCAACCTAGCAGTTCGAAAGCACGTCAAAGTGCAAGTAGATCAATAGGTACCGCTCCGCCGGGAAGGTAAATGGCGTTTCCGTGTGCTGCTCTGGTTCGCCAGAAGCAGCTTAGTCATGCTGGCCACACGACCTGGAAGCTGTACGCCGGCTCCCTCAGCCAATAAAGCGAGATGAGTGCCGCATCCCCAGAGTTGGTCACGACTGGACCTAATGATCAGGGGTCCCTTTACCTTACCTTTACCTACATACAATAATACATAACATTAGTATATAAAAAGTAGGACTGGCTACACAACGCTGCAGATTGGTCCCAACAGACACTACATAGCATTCTTTCAGCACTAAACATAGTCAGCACTGGGCTATTTTGGAGTGCCCCCCCCCAAGAAAAACACCCTTACTTCTGCAATGCTTGTCCCCCCCCCCCCCGAACCTGCTGATACCTGCCCCTTGTTTCTCAGTAGCCTTGTTTTGGTTACACAGCAATAATATCTCTGTGCCCGAGGTCACTTTTAATACATCTATTTCATTCTCCTTCTCCTTCCCAACACTCAGTTACCATGCCATGCCCAGTGACCATGTTCAGTCTGCCTCAACCGAGCTGTTTGTGGCTTCTCCCTCAGCCACCTTTCAAGGCTTCTCCATCCCTACTTGTTTGTGTGTGTGCCAACCTTCGGATTGCGAATACCTTCCTCTTCCGCATAGGTAGTGTCTCTTGGCTATATAAAGGCAGGTGCCCAGAGGAAGAACTGACTGTTAATATACCTGATGATAAAATATCAAGCTATACTCAAGTCACAATGACTTTTAAAAAGTGAGTAGCATATCTAAGCAATTTTCACCTCAACCAGTGATTGCCTGTCTTATACCCCCATCAATGATAACTGGAGAGCCAGGTTATAGACAAAAGTTTCTGCCAGAGTGATGGTATGTACCAGCGGCAATTGCACATTTTCTGTGATAAGCGAACACGATCCCTGATTGAACTTTAGCAGTAAAACTTCCAGAAGAACATTCTTGTCTCCTTTTGCCAACATTAACTGGCAGACCTAAACAACTCTAACAAGAGAGTATCTGCCCCAGACATACATTTCTGGATGCAGGTGTGAAGAACTCCTGCTGATAACAGTATCAGCTTAATTTAATCTAATAGTCTACTTTCTTGTGGGGTGGCTTTTAGAGTCTCCCAATAGCAGTCATCAGGGATGTGGGTGGTGCTGTGGTGTAAACCACTGAGCCTTGGGTACCGCTCTGGCGGGAAGGTAAACAGCGTTTTCGTGCACTTCTCTAGTTTTGCCAGAAGCGGCTTAGTCATGCTGGCCACATGACCGGGAAAAACTGTCTGCGGACAAACATCAGCTCCCTCAGCCAGTAAAGCGAGATGAGCGTCGCAACCCCAGAGTCATTAGCAACTGGACGTAAGTGTCAGGGGTCCTTTACCTTTCTTAATAGCAGTCATCAGTGGCACTAGCCTGATGTAAATCGTTGATTAATTTCTGAGCATAAATGCTTGGGACTGATTTGCATGGCTGAAATCCTAAAAACCTGGGATTATGCGGAGGAAGAGGAGGAGTGGGGTGGGGAACTTTCAGGTTGCTGGCTTGTGATCCTTCTGTGCACATTTACTTGCATACAAGGACCACTGTGATTATTGGAACTTAATCCAAAGTGTGTGTGGGAGGACTGCATGAATCCAAGATCTCTCAATCTTTCCTGTATCACAAAGCCTGTGGATTGATGGTCCTGCTCCACCCTGCTGTGCGGCAATGATTTTAGACGGTCTTCTTATTTTTGAAGCATCAAGCCTGGGTACCGTAGACAAGATTTTGAAAGCGAGCCAAAGCCTTTTAAAGACCTCGAGCCCAACTCCAGCAGAGGCATCAGTGTCGGGAGGAGGAACCCCCCAAGAGGGGGAGACTATCGCCCGCTGTCTTTGCCGATGGGTTCCACCCCCGCCGGTCGCGCGTCCCTCAGCCACGTGGGGATGCGGGTAGCAGCCAGCGGGTCCCTCGCCCGCCAGCGCCGGTCTGACCTGGAGGCTCAGGGAGGAGCCGGGCGTCGCTTTCTTGGAGAAAGGAGAGTTCTCCTCCCTGGCGGGAGTTGCTGGAAGCGTTTAGGGGGCGTATTGGGAGGCGGCCGCTGGCCAATGATCAGGAGCGCTGCTCTCAGCTGGCAGGCATTTAAATGGGAGACAGCGCGGTGCGCCTGCAATTCGGAAGCGGGGCCCGAGCTTTCCTTGCCTCTCCTTCCGATGGGCTCGAGGGACTGGGAGCAGAGCAGCAGCAGCAGCCCGCGCCGTCACCCCGCGCACTGAAGCGCCCCACGCCGGAAAGGAGCCGCGGAGCAGGACTCGCTCTCCGCCCACGCGCAGGTGAGGCGGCAGCGGAAAGGATTTCGGGGCTTCCTTGGGAGACCTTGGGTTGCTTGACGCCGGAGTGAAGGATGGCGACTGCCGCTCTGCTCCAGGCAGGCAGGAGGCGCTGGGTTGTAGCCCCCTGGAAGCAGGAGGGTTACTCGGGGCGTAAGTGATGAGAGCCTTAGAAACTGCAGGTCAGTGTATTCTGGGAAGAATACCGACTCTGATGGGGTAGGATAACTTAAGTTAGATTTATGCCTGGCATCGTGGATAAATTGCTTTCCTGGATTTAATCCAGGAAAGCCTGTCGAATATATGCTACGAAATACCGAAGCTCTTACCTTTCCCCGTATCTGCGTAGCGCCTGACCGGAGGGAGGGGAGCCGCTGGAATCCCCTAACTCCCACCCCACATTTCTCATCGCAGTTTTTTTTTGGGCGGCGGCGGGGGGGCGGGGACGGGACTTGGCTGGCTTTTGCCGCAAATGGAACTACCGGTAGAACCAATACCATTTTCACACGTGATTTATAGCGCAGTTCTATGCATATTTACTTGGAAGTAAGGGCCATTAACTTAAATGGGGTTTACGTCCCAGTTAGTAAACATGGGGCTTCAGACCGAACAAGTTCTGTGTGCACCTGAAATTCTAGTATTGACTCCATTCGTTGGGATGCCAGCTAAACATGGGGATCCCTCAACCCTGCAGTAACAATCTTAGCACTTGGTTGCTCGAGGAAACCTCCTTAAAAGTTCGTCGGATTGCCAAGGACACTCCCACGGAAAAACAAGGCCCCCTCTTTCCAGGGTGCCCAGGATGTGACCCAAGTCCGTCTCGTTCCCCAGTAAGCCTGTGCAGCCGCTCCTGCCTCTGCGCTTCCAAAGCGACCGTAACACCCCGCGGGTCGGTATTCGCAACCGGCCCTCCCCTAGGCTTTCTTGGGCGCCCTGTGGTGCCACTGCCTAATGGGATAATTTAATCGAAAGCGCCGAAAATTGCTCACAGCCGCGCGGCGGCCGGGATGGGCGAAGAGGGCCGCGGAAAACTCCTTTTAAAAGGATTGGCCCCTTGCAAGGGGGCGGGCGCTGGCTGACAAAACGGGCTGGGCCGGCGCCTCAAACGGGCCCTGCTGCGCGGAGGCGCCCTTAACATGCAAGCCTACTCGGAAGTAACTCCCACTGACTTCAACGGGGCTTGTCCTCCGCGGTAGCCCCCCGCTCACTAGGGCCAGTGGGGTTATTCCAGGTGCCAGCGGAATTGGCGGGGTTGGATTTGCGCAGCCCCGACGGCAAACGGGCGCGCACCGCGGCGTTTGCTCCGGTGACGACGGAAAGCCGTCGGTTCTCCCTTCCCGCGGGCGGCTCTTTCCCTGCCAAGGGCGGAGCCGCCGAGGGGAGGCGGGTGTCTCCTAAGACCCCGCCGCGTGACTTACTCAAAACCAAACAAAACGCTGGCGGAGGCGGTCGTTGGGCCCCGCGGGGCAACCCTGGAAACGGCCTGTCTTGGGCGAGGCTGAGCTGAGGGCGCTGCCCTCGCTTGGCGGGGAGAAAAAGAGGCGCCACCCAGCGCGCCGCCGGCCACCCTCTGCTGCGCCTCCCGCGCGGCGGCCTTCTGGGCGGCAAGACCAGAGGGAAACGCCGGGCATCTCCGAGGGGGCGAGGCGTGGTTCTCTGTCCAGTGCAGCAGCCTTCGCCAACCTGGGGTGCTCCAGCTGCGTAGGACTACAACTCCCATCAGCTCCCACTGGCTCTGGGTTGTCAAGAGGGAGGAGTTCAGTTTAAGCCTGGAGCAACACCCCAGGAAGCGTCGCGATCAGGGCCGAAGAGTAGCCCCGTTTGAGCTCTTGTCATTGACACGCTGAAACATGTAGATGTTAATGGGGGAGATAAATCCAAAAAACGCATTTCCTCCCTCCCCCCGTTGTATATTCCCTTCTCGTTGGTTAAACTTATTTTAAGCTTCCCGTAAGAAATGCCTCAGCCTTTCCCTATGAAAGATCTATCTTCAAATACTTTGTGCTGTATGCCTTGGCTCATGCTTCTGTACTTCCGATAAGGGAAATAACTTGGTCAGTGGTCATGAATGATTGGAGTTGTAATCTCAACAGGTTCCCCACCTCTGGTTTCTAGTCTGAGGGTGAACTGAGCATTCCTCCTTGATTTGTTTGCAGGGGAGTTAGAGAATGTTGCATCAAATGTTATCCCACACTTTGCGGGATCCCCTCGTTTTTCCTTATCTGATTTGGGGTGCAAAGCAGGTTTGCTGTGCAAAAATTGTGTATCAGCTTAAATTGCGCAACTTGCTTGAATCTCACTGGAAGTGCCTTGACTCTGTCTAATTCTCTGATAACAGGGCTTTTAAGCATTTGGTGAAGGCAACCTTAAAATCTGAAAAAGTCCATGCTGTAAGAAATCTCCCTGCAGGCCCAGGAGCACTTGTAATCTTCAATAAAGTCTTCCTTTAGACTGATTTAGAAACCTGATCTTTTGATAACATTAGAATCTCTGTCTGCAATTCACAAACCACTGTCCCTCAGACAGCCACACACTTCTGTTAGATCTGAATCTGGAACCTGTGTGTTTCAGATCACAGTCTGTTCTCTGTCTCTCTCTCCCCCCAAAAAACTCATTCTTAAACTGTGAAACATATATTTTTAGACCTCAGAAAAATGACTGGCAGTCCCTACTTGCAAGGGAACAGACACTTGGAATGCAGTTCTGGCCTTTTCATCTCTAAAAAGAAATTGCAAAGCTTCAGGACGATGCAGAAAGGAGCAACTAAACTCCATCTTTTCCTGCGAGAGGTTTAACAGTGTAGTCATATGTATATCTGCTCACATCTACTTTCAAGTAAGTCCCATTGCTTTCAGTGGGACTTGCTTCCTGGAAAGTGTACATAGCATTGCAGTCTAAAGGGCTTTAGTTTTTTAAAAAAGTGAGTAAGATGGGGGCAGGCCACAAACATGATATCTAAAGTAGCAAGTGGTGTGGAGTCAATTCTCTTTCAAATCACTTCACTTTGTGGCACCTAAGGAAGGTGATGTCCTTGCCTTGCATCACCATTCAGTTGCCTACCCACTGCATTTTGCAGTTCTTCAGTCATCTGCTTGGAACTGAGAAGTTTTTACAACTTAGGTGGGGTCATTTTCTGACAATAATGGCTGGATTGAATATGATGTTTCCAAAATGGCTCTGAAGGATTGGGGATAACCCATAGAAATATTGGGGTGGGTGTGGGGGCGAGTGGGAAGTGCCTTAGCCTTAGCACTATGACGAACACAAGCCATTGAGTTGAGTTGTTAGTGAAGTGATCACTTTCACCTTTAATCTTTTGTATTCATTGGTTACACAGAAGTAGTTCAAAAGCAGACAACACAGGACAGAATTTTCAATCTACTGTATAATCATATATAAACACACACCAAACCTTTAATTTAAAAGAAGAGTCCTTAACTGCCAATGCTGTCTGCTATGCCAACCCAAAATATGAGCTTTGTCCTGAAGGCTTTTAGGTAATTGTTGCTAATAGCAATATTGGTGTTCTTACTCCTCATAGACCATCTCGCTTTCATTGTGATTTCCTTTAGAGCTGTGGTCTAATGATGGATTTAAAATAGAGCCTTTACTCAAAAGTGCTCAGGTTTCAGCTATTGAACTTAACAGAAGAGAGGTTGGTCTAGGTCAGTACTGAGCCCTTTGAAAGCCTACACCAAAAACTTTCTTCTGGAAATGGGACGAAGGTATGCAGGCTCTCCCCCCTAAAATGTGTGCTTTGCTCTGTGAATGTTCCTGAAATAGGAATATACTTACTGTTTCCTATTATATTTATTTACTCTAGTATTGCAAGCTAGAACTTTCAGGCAAGAACATGGCTATGTTTCTTGAGCAGGTTCAGTGTGCGTGTGTGGAAGTGTGTAATGGAATTGTTAGTCATCATTTGTATGTTTGAAATGACACTAAGTTGGAACACTCAAGTCTTTTATACTGCCAACATGTTCAGCTTCTATTTCTTCAACCTCCAAGTACATTGGCTTAGAATCTACATAGTAGTTATGAGGTCTCCCTCATTGAGTGTTGCTGCAAAATTATCACAGCAAACTTAAACATAATATAAGTATTTAAATAAAAATAAATCTGTTATCCAGCCCTAGAGTTAAAGAGTAGGGGAGGAAAATTCTTGGTTCTGGAAAATCCCTTGCTTCCAGAAAACCGGGTCAGAGCTGTTGCCTTTTCCATCTGCAACTGATCAGGAGAGGCCTTTTCGTCTCTCAGCGACAGAGAGGTGGGCTCTTGTTTTCTGACTGTAAAACGAGTCCTATTGCAAATGTACAAAAGTAATATAACTGAACTAGTTCAAAAACGATGACACAGTTGTAATCCATGTTGCATGAGCGAAAGGCAGCTGCCACAACTGATGTTTTCCTCTCTCTTCAGTCCCCTGAGTGTGCCCACCCCCACTTCAGAATCTTGAGGGTGACCTTCTGAGCATTATGGGATGTCTTGTGTGGCTACTGTGGGAGGAGAGAATTGCCGGAAGCATGGAACTTTGTGTGAGCAGTACGAGATTGTTTTGCCTAGTTTTAGGCCTTTTGCCCTCCTTCCACTACCACCTTATAAGTCACAGTCCGCAGTGTTCAGTAAATCTCTCCTGAGCCTCAGCAGGGACTTTTTAGGGACTACAGGTGGGAGGAGGGGAGGGAGAAAATTGGTTTCCTGAGCCTACCATCCCTTTGTACAACCCCTTGGGTACAACTCAGAAAAATAAGTGCCAAGTATACAAACTGATACAACACACAGTATGACATAAACAAATCAAAGAATCAGATATGATGTCACAGGTTGATAAAGTGATTTTCAATATAATCATAAGAGCATACAACTAATAGAATTATATGATGGGCAGCTGGCAAAAATCTGTTCCAGCTAAGTCTTCAGAACTGCCAATGTACTTTGAAAATCCAAATCTCTTATGAGAACATAACTATCAATGAATTGCTTTGACCATCCCTTTCACAAAGCTTCTAATTACATATGGAAAACTCAGATTCATAAATGGATGAATTTCACATAGTATTCCCTGACAGTCCTGTAACTCATTGCAATGCCTTCTACACATGCAGGATGCAGCTGTTAAGTGTCCTAACTGGTGTTGGGATATGCGCACATATTTAACCTGTTCTGTGCCAGTTTCTCTATTTTCCTGCATGCTTTTAACCTTGAAAGCCTTGCATGGCCAGGTATCCTCATGCTGGAAGGACAGTCTCTGTCCAAATACAAACCCGTTTTCCAGTTTAGGTCAAGTTAGCTGATTCTGTAGCTTATGTCATATACACGATATGTTCAGACAGTGGCAACTAGGAGCCAGGTTTTTCTGTTGGCAGTCACCTGTGATAAAATTGGCCCTTGCATTTCCAGATTTTACCTGAGGGAAATTCCATACAGGTTGGAATCTCTCAAGTTGCTAGATTTGAAAGAGGAGGGATTTGCTTTACTCCCTGTCCCTTTTCTCCCATTCCTGAGAGGAAGGTTGGTATTTTCACTAGCTTTGGGATAAGGGGTGATGTGATGCACTGTGTGCAGCTTTTTAGTTGATGCCATGTGAAATAGATATATTCTTTCTCCCCAGGATGAGTCGCACAGTTTCTACAGTTGGTGTCCTCCTTCTGTTTGGACTTCTGCTACCCACCGCAGAGGGGAGCAAGAGGAACCGTGGAGCCCAGGGCGCCATCCCCCCGCCTGACAAAGATAAACCCAATGATTCGGAACAGCCGCAGCAGCCGCCGTCGCCACCGCAGCAGTCGGGCGCCAGGATCCGTGGCAAGGACAGAATCAAGCCTCCATCTGCTGAAGAGGTGCTGGAGTCGAGCCAAGAGGCGCTGCACGTCACTGAGCGACAGTACCTGAAGCGGGACTGGTGCAAGACGCATTCCCTGAAGCAAACCATCCACGAGGAAGGCTGCCACAGCCACACCATTATCAACAAGTTCTGTTACGGGCAGTGCAATTCCTTCTACATCCCCAGGCATATCCACAGAGAGGAAGGCTCCTTCCAGTCCTGTTCCTTTTGCAAACCTAAGAAACTCACCACCATGTCTGTCACACTGAACTGCCCGGAGCTTCAGCCCCCGAGGAAGAAAAAGAGGATCACGCGAGTTAAAGAATGTCGCTGTATATCCATAGACTTGGATTAGGAGGCACCACGATGGGTGTTCCAGTTCTTGCCCTTGACTACAGACGCCCGAAACCCAATCTGTCTGAATGGGACACAAACAATAGAGAACTGCAACAAAAACAATGTATGCGTATCTGTGTGCAAGTGTGAATGCCAATACATCAATTACAAAAGCATGCATATGGAATAGCACCACTACTTGGAGTGCAAGTTGTCACCTATTCCTAGGGTCAGTATCTCACTAGTTCACCTGTGTGCTGGGGTTCCTGCGCTTCCATTTTCCACCAGCATCTGTGCCAATGACTTGTGTACCTGTTGTTGCAAGTGAGAGCGTTGATGTGCTCTAGGTCCAGTGTTATTTCTTGGAACAAAATGTCAACAGGGATGCAGTAGTAGACTTACAGAAATGCCCCTTGTAAATGGTGTTCAGTCAAGGGTGCAATTATAATTGGGAATGAATGTTCAGAAGCAGCTTTGTTTGGATCGAAAAACACAGCCACTAGCATTAGAAGACTTTTTAAAGAAGGTAATGGGCAAGAGAAGGAAAAAATGAGAAAGTACAAGAATTAAGAGCAACAAGGGAAGGCAACGTGCATATTGACTCTACTGATGCTTTGAATGTACTTTAAAAACATTTTTGAGTTAAGAAGTGATTGTCTTGGGATGCTGCATTCTTTGACTATAACTGTAGTGTTTAATTCCATCATTAGCTTTTAGGTTTGCCGTAATAATTTGTCTAAAATCTGTTAATGTATATGTGTACACATCTTTTCTATCTCCATTATACTATCAGGTAATTCAGCTTAACACAGAAAGCACAATTCTGCAGTGATCGTTTGGGACTTCAAATGCAATAAGCATACAAAGCTATATATACTTCAGAGCTTCAATGGGACCTGTGTGATAGATGCTGCTTAGTCTCTGGCCCGAAGGATGTACTGCCTTGCCCATTTACCTTGCATTTATCCATATTATCTTTGATTTTGGATTTGCTAAACTTTAGGTGCTGTTGGGGGCTGGGCTGGGCGTGTGACAGAGTGCTCAGTCTTTCCTTCAGCATTTACTGAATATAAGGGCCTTTTCTTTGAGCAGCTCTTGAACAGTCCATTCATGTATAAACATGTAGCAGTAATATATGGTGAATATTGCCTTTTGTCAGAACAGAACAGCCTTGAGAGTGAAAAATGGTTTTTAAGTGTAAAATCCATTATGTATTACTATTACATGGTTTGTAGCTGAATTCATCTTTGACCAGTTCCCCCTATGTATGATAGGATACCACCTCTCGTGCCTCCCCTTTGCTTTATTTTTATTTACATATACAGATGTGGCCACCTCTGTTTCCATCCCCATTGTAAACCTCTGGCCTTTATTTATATTGTTGAAGCCCCTGGACAGATAGACTGGCTTTTGAAAGTATGAACACATTAACCAGCTGTCTATCACAGTAGGCAATTTGTGGTTCATGCCACAAGGAGAGGACAGGTATTTATAGAAATAAAACACTTACGTTATTGGCAGGCTCCTCGTTGTTACAGACAAGTGTCTGCTTAATAAGCAAATGTATTCATATAAGAAGCATTCTGGCTCTTGACATATCACACAGTCCTCAAATATACCATAATAAAACAACCCATATTTATAACCTAAATTACCCATTTATCATTTAGCTGTATTGCTTCTTGTTCCATCTTTAGAGGATAAGTCAACAACTGTTTTTCTTCTTTTTAAATGTTTCATCTTGTTTTAGAGGCTATAGCTGTATCCTCTAGTTACTTATTCCTCTATTAAGTTGTAGTCCCTTGCATAACAATTAGGGGATACCTCTTTCTATAAAAACCCCCAGTTCACTGGGACCTTGACAAGCATGATCATGCATAGCCAGATGCCTGTCAGCATCCTTTCACATGCAAATGTTTTTTTACTGCCTTCATCTATACCAGTAACAGATTGCAAACTTGCATATTAGCCATATCAGGATCACCCACTGCAATCTTTTTTAATAGGTATTATCATACATTTATTTCTGTGTAGATCATTTTTAAAAGCCTGATTTCTGAGTTACAGGAGAAAATTTCCACTGTGTGGAATGTGAATAGTTAAGCAGAAAGATATTTAATGGTTTTGGCATTTCCATATGATCAGAGAGCTTTCCACTAACTACTTCTTAGAAGGTATCAAGGTTAAAGCATTCCCTTTGCCTTCTGAACTCTTGGGGACTTTATGTTAATTCTTGTTTCTCTTCCTATAATTCATATACAGCTCTCACCAAGCAATATATAGTTCTGGCTTTTTAAAAGTTTTAACTTTCCATACAGCACATTTTTGAAGCAACAACTTGTAAAAGAATTTAAGGTTTATAGCAAGGTGGAGTTGGTTATCTAAGAAAGAATAATAGAAGATCCCTCTTCAGAAAAATATATATGTTGGTTTCATAGGCAGGTCATTTATCATTGATTTTTCAGGTTTCAAGGAAACCAAAGATGTAGCTGCAAATGATTTCAAATCAAACCATATGTACTGTACTTAAATCTGAATTTTTCTTATAAAACAATGAAGAGGAACCCAAGCTGCTGTGTGTTCTGTAGAATTTCACAATGCAAAAGCTGTTTAAAAACAACTTTGATTTTGTAACTTGCCAACAGTTTGTTCACTTGCTATAATAAACATGTTTTTTAAAAATATATATGTTGAATTGCAGGCTAAAATGAAATTGCAAGAGTTTTAGAACCGGATTTTCAAATGGGTAAATATGAGAGAGGCAGAAATGTCCAATTCCCATTCTTGGCATAATGGCTTTAGCTGCATCTCACAAGACAGCCAAGAACAGTGGTAAGGATTTATCCAGCCACCACAAGGAAGGGAACAGGATTATGGTACAAGTTGGACAAGTTGGGGAAAGCGTGGAATAAGATTCCTGTACATACTTTCCTAACTTGGTATGCAATTAAGGTAAAACCAAAGTATCCTCCTGGGGCTCTTCAGATTCCTACATGGTCCATATCCCAAGCCCCATTTCCTCTTGCCTAACATGCTGGGAACAGATGGGATGAAGCGGGAGGTTACTTGAGTACAACAGCAGGTTTCTTTTTAGCCTTGTGGGTGTTTATGAATTGGGACAACACCTTTCACAAAACCCCAGCAGCTGCTGCAAGGGAACCCTCTGTCTGCAATGAAGCTTCTTGACCATGCCATGGGAGACTGCTGGGAACTGCAGCTACTGGTAGCTCGTAAAGCTCTTAGCAGTGATGAATTCTAAACTGCAGACATGCTTCGTGACTTCCCCATAGCCACCTAAGACTATGCAACAATGTCATGAACTGGTTGGACACAGAAGAATGGTGGCAGGAACCAGCTGGGGAACCGCATGGGGAAGAAGGCTCAGAGCCTGTGGATTGGTGGTGGGACAACAATGAGTGCTCAGAGGGAGAAGCCTGGGAGGTGTCAGAAGCTGAAGAGGGAACAAGGCTTAATGAGCAGGGAGAGTCTGTGGCAGAGAGCAGTCCAGAGGCAGAAGCTGAAGCAGGATAGGAGGGAGTCCAAGAGGCAGAGATGAGTCTGGCTGGGGCAGAGTCACAGGTGTTTCCCACCTCCTGCTGTGACCAGCTCCCCTCCCGTCTGGTCTCCCAGAACTCTGGTTTCCCATGAACTGGGCAGAGAAGTTAGTTTTGTGCAGGAGCAATCTCAGATTGCTTGGGAAAACCCCTGGAAAGAGGGAACTATGGCAGCTGTGAGTAGGTGGGGACCTTAAGTCCCATCAACTGCTTCATGGGGGCAAGACCTACCCAAGTTGAGTTGCTTTCCTCATTAGGCACTCCTGTGCAGATCTGTTTTGCTAGTGAAGTTAACACCAGCTTGCTTGGTGTGATTTACTGCTGGCTCGCTCCTGTCAAAGCAAACATGATTTTTTTTTTTAAAAACCAGTGCCTACATTTTGATTTCAATATCAAGCCAGTTTTTTGTTCTGCACCCCCCCTTCACTTTGCTTAACATTAAGAGTACTGAAGAGTTCTGGGCAATGCAAAAGCTTGCTCACAATTTTGCAATGTTTTGGGTGGCCGTATAAAGGGACTTTGGAATTGTTCAATATAAAAGTGACAGTTCAATCTAGAACCACATATGCTAATGTAATGTAACCTGCCTGTCCCTCTGCTTGGCTCATTTGGGTTTCTCTCTGCATGTTGGCTTGCAGAAGATTGGCCAATAGTACCTTAGAAGCAGGGGTGGGTCTACTATGGAACTAAGGAAGCTTAAACTTCAGAGCGTCTAATCCCACAATGCTTTTAAACAATTGGGTTTAGTAGACCAAATATGAGTCACACAACTCAAACTGATCTTTTGTTGTATATATCACAAAAATCCCAAAGTTTGAGAATCGGTAGCACAGGTGTTGAAAAGGCAGAGTGTCACAGTATTTTGAAAATACTGTGTATGAAATTTTCATTCACGCTAGTGACTTTGACATGTGAGATAATCCAGTTCAGCAATTTTAATCAAAATCTGAGATATTGTAGTTATTTTTTTTTTAAAATGTGGTCTGTCATAGAACCACACTGAAGAAGATAACAGTGGTTATCCAGACCCTATACAGCGGTATCTCAGGTTAAGAACTTAATTCGTTCTGTAGGTCCATTCTTAACCTGAAACTGTTCTCAACCTGAGGTACCACTTTAGCTAATGGGGCCTCCTGCTGCCGCTGCACGATTTCTGTTCTCATCCTGAAGCAAAGTTCTTAACCCGAGGTACTATTTCTGGGTTAGCGGAGTCTGTAACCTGAAGCGTCTGTAAACTGAAGTGTCTGTAACCTGAAGTGTCTGTAACCTGAGGTAACACTATACAGTATAGCTTTCTATGGAAGCTGGATTCCAGGATTCCAGTAGAAGTCAATGAACATAGGCTTCCCTGGCTTGGTTGTTCATCCCTACAAGGTGCGGATATTGGAAATAGTATCAGGGCAGCCACTTGATGGAGCTGAACTTAACAACAGCCCCTCTTAATTCATGCATCATGCTGTGTCACAGCTAGTCACTTGAAATGAATACTTTGAACTGGTCTTAGGTGCTGAGCAGGGACCTGCTGAACTGTGACTCATACCAGTTTTCTTGCAAGGCATCTTAATGGGCTTAGTAAAACGTACCCACCCCAAAACCATTAACGTTAGTTCTCAGTTACAATCAGTTTTTTCCTTGGCGTTTTACAATATTTCCAGACTATTTTTACTTTAAATGTTTGCTGTAATCGAAAATAAAAACCATAGCTGATTAAAGGCGGAGAAATTGTGTGGCATACTCAATATGCAGAGGGAGGGTCAAATGTTAAAGAGTGAGAATTTAACCATAGAAATCTGGGGAAGCAGGAGTGCTTACATTCTCTGTGCCTTTTATTAGAAAGTTACAGAGGGTGGCCACATACAAGCATTTTTATCATACACTTTCTGGATGCAAGGTTAATTTATCCTAATTACTTGGTAGTATAATACAAGCCCTATTCAGGTGATTGGTACCCATGGGTATCAAATGCCTGTAGGATTTCTCTACATCTCCTAGATGCCAATGCATGTGCCTACCACACTTCTAGTCAATGCATATTTGACACCAAACTGCAGGGGTCCTCTGCAGTCACATACATATGAGCATATGACTGTATCCATGGGGATGGGTTGCTTGGCTGTTCAGATTTCCCCTCCCCATGGAGGGAGCCATACATGGGTAGGCCCTCTTCAGGATGTCCATGATTATGCATCACTTCATAGCATCAGAGCCCAGGAAGTGGGGTTAGTCTGCATGTTTTAAAGCAGAGTCTCCAGGTGTTGCTAGACTTAACCTATCATCACTCCTGGCTACTGGTTGGCGGGGGATGTTTGGCATGGTAGTCTAACGGTGGGGACTTGAGGCTGAATAACACTGCTCTAGAGAGCTCCTCCATGGCATTTGGTACTGAATGCCTGAACATGGCTACAGATGATCAAGTTACCACCGAATAAGACCATCCTGGTGTTGTTTGGTTATCTGTATGCCATACGGACTCAACTAATCCCTCGTCAACTACACACACACACACACACACACACACACACACACAGTGTTAATCTTCAACTTGTTATGTGGTCACCTGTATTGGTAAATGGCCGTCCTGTCTATGACAAATCCATGTACAGAAAAGCAGGGAATCGTCATGAATAGCTATAACGGCATTTGAAGTCCAGTTAGCTGACTTTGCTGACTAAGAACTGTTGACTTTAATATGGTTCCACATAATACCCCAGATGGCAAATGGCTGACTTCTCAGCTAAGCTTTGATGGTGGGGATGGGAGGGGCAATGCTTTTTTAATTGCTGCTTGATTGTGCTTTCATTATTTTCCCATCTGATTGGAAACAATATTTATAACCACGTCCCTTTTAAGTAATTACAAGAAGATGTGAAAGACAAATATACTGACATAAAAGAAGAATGGTTTGATTAACAGTAAAACAGGAACATTTCTAAGATGTCTCTTTCATCTTTTGTTTGATACAGATGTAAAGTCACATCATTCGGGGATGAATCAGTTGGAGCAGAACATTTGCAGTGGTTCCTAACAAAAACGCTGGCATTTATTTCTTAAATTAAACATTCCAAAGCAGATATATGCTGACAATATAGTGATTGAGTTAGAGAGATGCAGCCAGATGCCCTGAGTTGGAAGATGTAGTTGAGGCAAGGTGTGCTATTGAGGGAGTAGCAGTGGAAGCTACTGAAAGGATGGATGAAATCTGTCCATTCTGCTTTCTCCCAGTTTCTCATTTTTCAGTTCACTTCTCCACGTTTTCTCATCAGTCTGCATGTGTTTCTTTTAAAGTCCTCATCAAAATCCACCAGCATTTTAGTGCAAATCTGTTACCAGGTGGTTCCCAACCTTTGAGGATCCCTTCTACTTCTCACCCCCAAATGTCATGGAGCCAACATACAAAAACTTGCCAAGGGTTTAAGACAGTGATCCCCTCCCAGAGAGCCAGTGTGGTGTAGTGGTTAAGAGCGGTAGACTCGTAATCTGGTGAACTGGGTTCTCGTCTCCGCTCCTCCACATGCAGCTGCAGGGTGACCTTGGGCTAGTCACACTTCTCTGAAGTCTCTCAGCCTCACTCACCTCACAGAGTGTTTGTTGTAGGGAAGGAAGGGAAAGGAGAATGTTAGCTGCTTTGAGACTCCTTCGGGTAGTGATAAAGTGGGATGTCAAATCCAAACTCTTCTTCTTCTTCTCCCAGTTGAGCCTCCAGAGGCACAAATGGAAGCAGGGGCTGTCTTGAAGCCTCTTGCAAAAGTAGACTTTGAAGCAGCTTCCCTGCTCCTCTTTTAAACACTGATGTTTGGGAACCACTGTTGTAGGCCATACTTCAGGATGCTTAACCAAACTTTAACGTGAAACAGCAGGTTTTGTAACTTGAGAGAGAAAAATATGTACCATCCTATGTGCAAAATGGAATGTGCAACTGTAAGTCTCAGAGTTCCTTAGTTTGCGGGGGGGGGGGGGGCTTCTCAAAGGTATTATTACATATGTCACAGTTCCTGCTTGCCTTTTTGTATACAAGCAGTAGGAGCCAGTCTCCCTGGCATACTTTATCAACAGTAATATCAGATGTAGGAGAGGACATGATGTGAGCGTCAATCCATTTGGAATGTGCATGCAATTAAGACCATTTTTT